AGATAACATTATTTATTGGTAGATGAATATCTAAATTCTAGATAGCTGTCTAAGCTGAGAGAATTCTAGAGCTATAGGGAGCTTGGTCATGTTCAGAAACTTGAAGCCCTAAAGTTTGTGTTAAAAACTGTTCTTTCTAAAACTGTATGTTTTCTCTTACCCTGTTATCAAATCTTACCCCTGAATAATGAGTTTCAGTTTTAACTAGGATGTAACTTTAGTTTCTATTTAGAACTACAATTATTATTTTATTCTTTATTGATAGCAAAATAGTCAAACTGGTTCGGTCACATCTCTTGTGCAGTTTAGTCAGAAAACTTTCAATTCTTTGAATAGCTACCTATTTAAATTTACTATACTTTTAACCATTTAAAGTTAATTTCTATACAAGCAACCCTTTTAGAGCAATAGCAGGAAATAAGAGAAAAAGTCTGGGACTGGAGTGAAGTTTCTGCATTTCGTTCAATTAATTCAACCTTATTCCATATTTTGATGCATCAAAGTGTGGATATTAATAGGTGTGATGCAAAAGATAGGTTCAATAGAAGTAATTTTGGAAATGCTGGGTTAAACAACATTTGAACCGATTTCTTTCCTGTAGAACTTCTTAGAGCCTTCAATTAATACATACCAACGGGTGCCGTGAAACTCCAAGAAGGAAGAGATAGCCTAATAACTTTTCCCAAACACTGTTGGTCTGGCAGAGCAACCTTAGGGACCTGCAGTTCACAGAACACACTTTGGGAACCCTAGAAAAGGAAAATTAGTGCTTTCAGTACATGTTATAGTCTTTTAGATTTCTTAAAGGCTGTTAAAGTCACTATATGGCATAAATTGGCATATTTGTACTGCCAAGCTTCATATTTGGTTTGTGCCTTTATCCTATAAAAGATTTGGCCTTTGGGGATTATTAAAGCGATTATTAATTCAGGAGATAAGCATTTAGACAACAAACAGTTCAGACAGACGTAGGTATCGTAGTCCTCACCAGAGCTGCGGTAGGAATACATGCTTTGAAAAGAGACTAAAGAAAAGAAAGCCAGTTTGTGTTTTCTCTCAGAAGTGCGTATGGAACACAACATGCTATTGTGAGCTAGCTGCGTAGTAACCAAACTTTTAACCAGAGATCACAGACTGGGGTCCACAGGATAGATCTGGCCTGCAGATAGTTTTGTTCAGCCTGTACAGTGATTTCAACCTTTGAATTAGTTACCAGCATTTTAAAATCTTGAAGTTTCACGTCAAAATCTAGCTACTTTTGAAAAATGGAAAAGTCTGGTAGCACATTCCCCAATGATAACCGCTTGCTGAAGCTGAGAACTGTCTGCTTCCTTTTTTTTTAAAGATTTTTATTGGGGGAATTGGGGGAATGGGAACAGTGCTGGGGAATTGGGGGAAGGGGAACAGACAAGTTGTTGTCGTCTTGTTCTTCAATCTAGTTGTGGAGGATGTTGCTTCACTGGCCCAAGTTGGCACCATCATTGCGCTCTTCCCTGGCGAGGCAGATCAGTCGCCGGCTTCTGGACGGCCGCTCACTGCGGCTGCTGGCCGCTCACGCTGGCTGCTGGCTACATACGGTAGCCCATGGCAACCCACTGCCACAGGGACTGCAGCCTACGCCGTCGCCGGTGACTCATGGCAGCCCAGCTCCAGGTTGAGCTGTTGTTCAGCATCTTAGCTGTGGAGGGCAGTGTTCACTGGCCCTCATATGTGGGATCCGAACCGGGGCCCTCTGGCATCCCAAGCGAGTTCTTAACCATCGCGCCACTCGGCCGGCCCTGTCTGCTTCCTTTTAAAGGAGCAGTTTATCCAGTGTGGCACTGCTTGCCTACTAACTGTTGTCCTGGTGGCTGGACACACTTATGCTACCTGTCCGGCCCTATGGACATGTGGTTTTATGTAACCCCTGCTGTGAGGACACGGCTGAAGGGCTGGGGGATGCTGCCTCTTTCTAGAGTCACCTTTATAAGCAAACATGGTCAGGCTTCTGCAGAAAGAAGAATCAGTGTTGGAATCCATGTCAGGCTCATTGAAGGGAGTCTTCACCCTCTGGTGACATCCCTGCGTTTGTCCTCTGGGTGTTGAGGCTTTTCCTGCCCAGAGTATAACCTATTTGACAACACACTGGAAGAGCTGTTACACACACACACGCACGCACGCATGCGCGTGCACTCACACTCACACACTCTCTGATCCCTGTCTATATAAAGTTGGATTGCTGGGGTAAATTTATATTGAATTAGGACAGAGTTCTGATTTCCTCCATTCTCAAAACTAATTATTAAAGAAACAAAGATAGTCAAAAAGCAGTTCTTTTGTTTATGTTCTCTCTTTCTATAAAATATTTGAGTCAGCTTATGAAGTATGGTATTCAAAACGTAGAGAAACATGTGCATGTGGAAAATAATATTCGAAGGACCAGAAAATATATTCAAAGAGTAAGTCAGAAAGATATAAAACATGAGTATCGGGCCTTGAGAATAACCCTTAGAAGATGGAGAACATGTCCTGTGTGCATGTGGGCTTCTATTTCAGAGAGATGCCAAGATATGAACGGAACTGCTCAGTGCAAACAGGACCACAGCATTACTTTTTGCTTAGCATGTAGAGTGTGATGTTGGCCTCTATTGGCATTTCTCTGATTCTGCAGTGCAGCTCTGAGGAGCTGTTTTCTGGTGGCAGCAGGGAAATGTGGGTTTTAGGAATAGGGTAAATCATCACTATCTCCTGAGATGTCTTCCTGTATTTTTACCTAATCTATAACATCAAAAATAGGGTGATAGAATGGGTTGTGTGTGATGTAATGAAGTGAGGGTGGGAGCAGTCGGGGGCGGGGTGGGAGTGGGGGAGACAGTAATGAAAGCTCTCAGCAGGATGGTCTGAGATCTGCAGAGTTCTCCGAGCAGTAGTAACCTACAGCTATTATAGAAGGCTGCATTTTCTGTACTTCTGATTAAATGAAGCCAGACCACTATGGATACTACACAGGAATTGTTTCCATTTGTAAAACAAAGTGATCCAGGATCAAACTCAATTATCATAAAGTGATTGGAATTACCTTACCAGGTCCTGAAGCCTTCACTACTTTATAGACTAGGAGAGAGGGTTCTGTGTAGAAAAAGATACATCCTTCTTTTTGGGGGTTTTTTATTGGTGACTTTAGAATTCTCGTTCTTACAGTGTCAAGAGATTGTGTTTTTAATGAAAAATTAATAGACCCTCATGAAGGCATTTTTTGGCTTTATTTTTATTTTTTAAATTTATTTTTCAATTACAGTTGACATACAATATTATATTAGTTTCAGGTGTACAGCACAGTGATTAGACATTCATCTACCTTATGACCTGATTGCCCTGAATGAAGGTATTTAAAAGGAGTGTTTTATGGTATTAGTGAATCTGCCTTTGTGGTAAATGTCAAGGGAATGATAATTTAGTCAGACAGACAAATTTTACAAGGAAGAAACTGGATCTTTTTTTTTTCCCATGCAATATAGGTGGGTCCAATGGCTGAATGTTTACAGAATTGCAAGCAGGTCCAAGTTTTCAGAATCTAGGAAAGAAACAGAGATTTTATGGCTGCTGGCTAACTAGTGAAGGCAACAGTGTCATAAAAAGCAAAAAGTTAGGTGGGGGGTGAATTTTATAGCAATCACAAGACATGTGCAGACGGTCTCTTAGCAATGCCGGTTTTAGAGTTGATTCAAAGTGTTTTGAAAGTGTAATTGGCAGATTTACTACCTTTCAAATGGACATACTCTTGAATATAAGCCAAGCCACTTAAGACATTTTCTTATGTGTTTCCTTGCATTAAATGTTGACCGTTGAGCAGTGGGGAAAATGAAAAATTTTGTTGATACTACGGAAATGAAAATTCAACTGTTTTGTTTCCTATCCTAATTCCACTTCCTTAGAGCACATGGCCAGTGAGTGAGTTATGTGACTGGTTGGTTTTCCTGGCGGTGCTGAAACTCGCCCTTCGGTATGGGTGGGGTTTTTTGTGTTTTTGTTTTGTTTGGTATTGTTGGTAAGCTTCTCTTTTCTAACTCAGTCATGTATTGAAAGGGATATGTTTTAAGGTTCAGATTCTGATTAAATACTTTTTTTATTATTTGATAAAACAGTACAAACTGTTGGCAGGAAGTCATATTTCCAGTCAAGAGATATTACCAAATAGAAAGAAATATGTCATAAAGATATCTTTTTCTACTCTTTGAAAATTTACTTCAATTTCTAGGCTTGCCTTTATTGAACCAGACTTGTTTAGGAAAATCAGATAAATGAAAAGTAGCTAACTCTATGTGCTTCAGGATTTGATATTGCTGGTAATTCTGTGGGAACTTGATGAGTATTAATCTATGTTAAATCACATTGCTGAAAGATAAATGTTTTAAATTTAGGGGGTGATAAGAATTTAAAAGCCAGATGTACAGATAATTTTTAGAATATATTTCTAATGTTTTTGTTCCCTTTCTTTAGGTGAACTCTTAAAAAGCTAAGTGCTAGGGCCGGCCGAGTGGCTCAGTTGGTTAAGAGCTCACTCAAAAGTTTGAGCTCTGAGCAACAGCAGTTTGATGTCCGGCCTGAGCTGAGCTGCTGCTGAGCTGCCAAAAGGTGGCAGGATGGCTCAGCTAAAAAAAATTTTAAAAAGCTAAGTACTGTACTGTGACAGGTTATAAACAGCCTATCATGTGCCAAAATGGATCTGATTCAAAACCCAGAATCTTTCTCTAAAAGACCGCTTTTTTTTTTTAAGCCACAGGTGGTTTCTGAAGGTTTCATGGTATATGTCTAGAGTTGAGTATAGTACCTATAAGTACATTCCCCAAGAGTTCTATTGAAAGGCACTTAATGCAGATTACATTAACTAATAACTGGATTTTTGTTTGGGTTGTGTATGTTGTAAAATGCACAAATCAGTGGGTTTGTCTTTAGTCACCTTATTCTCATTTGGGGTTGATGGAAATGAAGTAAGGACCAAGTAAACGACTTTTTTTCAGGTGCAAATTCGACCATGGAACCTAAGTGACAGTGACTTTGTAATGGATGGTTCTCAGCCTTTGGACCCCAGAAAAACTATCTTTGTTGGGGGAGTTCCACGACCCCTTCGAGCTGGTGAGTGGAAATAGTAACACCACAACAACAAAACCAACAACAACAAAATTCCCTATGCGTTTAGTCTTCAATATTTTCTAGGTTTCCAGTCAATTATACACAATCTCCAAAAAGAAGGCTGTCATGTCAGTTTCACTGAGCTGACTCTTTAAAAATTAAATGGTTTCTCCCCAAATGCTCTATTTCCTTCTGGTGCAAGAGTGAATTTCATTAAATGTTATTTCGAAAGGATGAATTCTATTTAGTGCTTTTCTATTTAACCATATATTTAAACAATAGTAACAGTACATTTGGCAGCGTGCATTCTTATGCCAGGTAGCTTTGTTACATATGACAGAAAAAGAAGTCACCCCATCAGAAATCTGTCCAGTGCAGCTGTGTGCCCACTCCTCAGTGATGAGCCAAACCCCTGCTGGGAGCTCTGTCACTGGGAATCAAACTGAACTCTTTCCACGTGAAAACAGGTTCCTATTTTTTCTTACGCAGTTTGAAAAATGAGTTATGTATTCAAGCACCTTTATTATAACTTTTTTTAAAGCTTCCCTGTTTTTGTTTTTGTTTTTAAGTTCCTTTCTAATGACGAAATAATTGTGCCTGCTGAGATGAGGCAGAATCATAATTGACTGGAGCATTTGAAGTGATACTGAGCTGATGACTTCAGTGTTTAAATCCAAAGACAAATCGAATCAGTTGTAGATCAGTGTTATTGCCAGTGGAATATAATAAAATTATTTGCAGGAACTAAGTTTTTTAAGTGCTTAAAGTAATGGAGTTTATTTTTTAAAAATAAGATGAAAAAATAAGATTACTGTTGCCACTGTAGTTGTGAAAGCGCAACATTATCTCTGTGTTATTTATAAAGTAGACTTAACGGTAGTTCTACCTAAAAAATAAAACGCAGAGATCATTAAAATCAAGTTGTGAGAACAGAATTATAAAATGTAAAATGTACCTACAGCTATTTGGCTCTGTGACTTTGATGATTGTTTAATTATAAATATGCCTCAACATTTCTGACGTGTTTAAATCTCAACTCCAATCTACTCCTAAAAGATAACTTTAGGCCTATATAAAGATATATTCATTATTCCATTTTGAAGGACTTAAAAACATATTAATTGTGACTGTGGAGTTTGTAATTTTGTGGTATTTCAGGAAGTCAAATATCTTTGGGCCTTATACTCATTTTAATGGAAAACTGTGCTGAAAGAAAGCAAAGCAGCAGAGATTCTCCCCACCCTCCCCCATGATCTGCTGCCAGAAAATAAAGCCTAGGAACAGTTAACTCCAACATGAGCAGCATTATTAGATGAGGGCAAATGAAGCCCTTCGTTTCTAAACTACTGTGCTTTAAAAAAAAAAAAAATGTGGGTGGGGGCGTTGTGGAATATGCCTGACTTTTTCTAACTAGTATGTTTAAGAGTGGAGGGGGAGAAAAATCCTCTTTGTCTTTTAACTACATATGTAGTCTACAAAAATGGACGTTTATTACTAATAGTCTAGCTATTTTTTTGCAACTAACTGCAAGTATAAATTAGTTGTAATGTTCTAGCACCTTTCCTTTTTTCCTAGATAGGAATCTGAAAAAAAAAAATCTGAAAGAAAAAGTCCTACAGTTATAAAAATAACAGAACTGGCTTTATAGCCGCCTATGTCTATTTTTAAGTCATAGGCACACTAGTACATAAATTAAATTCCCTTTTTTATTATTTACCCTTTATTCTTCCTGTTTTAATGATTTGAAAGAATAGGTAAGGGCCTCTATGTCATTTTCCCTTTATAAGTCCTATGAAGATCTATTTTTCACACTTGTTCTAAGATCACACTGACAACACAGAACAGGAAACCCAAGATGCTAAATTATATTATTTCTTTAAAATTCTGTGCCTGCAAGATATTGCAAGGTCAGGATTAGACAAGAATTATATTTAGTTTTCTCATCAGAAGTAGGATTTTGTGTTCCCTACTATACACTTTTTTAAGTCTTAAAGTTCTCTCTTTTTTAAAAGCTAAGCTAAACAATTTTTTTTCTTTCAAAAGTTTTGTTTTTACAGTTATGTGAATAGTAACCTACAGTCATTTTTTCTAATGGAAATGTTCCCCCATGCCAACACCTCCCATAATTGTAGCTAGTTTCTAGATGGCTAAACAATCTCTATCAGCATCTTAGAATTTTACTCTCTATCCAAGACTTCCTGGTTGGATGCCATGTAATCTGAACAAAAAGAGTTAACATCTGCAGCTTTTACCCATGTGCACAGAATTGGGTTTCTTTGGAACGCACTGAGCTTTGTGGACTGGAATAGAAGGTTATTTTTAAAGGAATTCATTGTGACTTTGCTGGACCATCTTGAATTGAATGCTGTGCAGTTCACTTGAACAATAAACATTTATTGAGCATCCACTGTATTACTGGCCCTGAGCAAGTGCGCGTCATACCAACCGGAGTGAATATGTCACTATCGTGTCACCATCTCAGGAAAATGAGAAATGAATTAATAGAATGCTAACTCAATTGGATGCTAAATTATACTCTTTAACATAATATTCCTCAAATTTGGCTTTTAAATACATCAGGGCATTTTTTTATTATTCCCAGGGGATGTTGTGGTTATAGAATTCTGGGAAGTCTTAAAACTATTTCAGGCACTATATACGAGGTGATCCTGGACTAGATATGGGTGACCGCACTCACGGGTGAATTTTAGGTGTTCAAATTGCTTTCCACCTTGTCCTGGGCCAAAAATGATCCTTCAACATGGTGTAATGACCATAATGTTACCACTCTAGAGTTATTCCTTTGGATCTTATGAGGCTTTTTATCTTTGATGTTTCCCCTTGTAAGACAGGACTTTATTACTAATATTATTTATTACTAATAAATTATTATAAATATAGTCATTACCCCACCAAACAGAAATACACAAACACTTCTAAAGAAACAAGGCAACCTGTTTTAAGCAGTATTATCCTGAGTGTAGGTTGCTTCTTCTCGTACTTTGACAAGCCTTCCTTTTTAAAATTCAGATTGGAAAAAAATTACAGGCCTAAAAAATTAACATGAAAATGGGAAAATATCAATGGAAAAATCTAGATGAGTTTACCCAAAGCGATATTGCCTGATTGTTGGTTTCTGTAGGTCAAATGATACACATTCCTACTGTCTCCTGCTCCTTTCATCTCTCCCATTGGTGACATTGGCAATGACAAGCCAAGGACGGTTTTCCTGAAGTCCTGGTGTTTTTTAGGTCTTGTTCTCCTCCCATTCCCCACCTCTTCCCACCCCCGTGCTGGGAAAAGCTCTAGGTAGATGCACCATGCCACCATGTGGCTAAAATTTACATTATTCTGCAGAAAGTTGGTACAGGGAAAGGGACAGTCTGTATGATTCTCCACCTGGAAGTACAGCAGCCATGTTTTTACTCTTCATTCAAGTAATGCAAACAACATGTCTTCCTGAATCTCAGTACAGGAATAGTCCTGTTGCATATCCCTGTGGCATTAGGACCTCTCTAGAATACATCTCTTTGATCTGAGAGGAAATAAGTGCCAGGCTTGGGGATTATGAAGAGGCTACCAGGAAAAAGTGGAGAATAAAGCATTGTACTCTCCCCTGGTTTATAAACATGAGTATTCTCTGACTCTAGCTTCTGGGCTTAAACATCTAATTTGAGTACTATCTTTGGAACCTTTCCACTTCCAACTTTGTTCAGACTTGAAAAACCCTCAGTCGTCCTCTCTGATTAGAAGCATGTGAACTATTCTCCCACATCATGACTTCCTGTGACAGTTTATCTGCCTCGGTCCTGCAGAACAGATCAGTCTTGCAAGATTGCTCACTGAGTCCCCAGAGCCTACCTGCCATTTGCTTGTCATCTTTGTGGGTCTCCCGTCCTTCCTAACTATTGCTCTGCTTATTCTTTCCTGTCTTTTCTCCTCTACTAATATTCTGTGATGAATCCTGACATTTCCTTCTCTGCCTTTTTTTTTGCCCTCTGACTGTTGTGAAGATGGCTTTTCTGTGGAGAAAAAATAAAACTTTTGAGGTAAATATTCAATGATAGATGGCATACATCTAGAGAACATTCATCCTGAATTTTTCCAAACATTCTGGTAGCTCATGCATTAGGAATCACATCCTGATTTGTGATTTAGGAAATAGGAGTATTGTAACCATGTCCTTTTTTTGTTCTATGAAGTGGTAGCAGGCAGAAAGCATCTTATATCAAGTTTCTCTCAGCAATAGAAGCTGCTTCTTTCATCCAAGTCCCAAGTTCAGTATGAATTGTCCCAGATAAACTCCAGATTTGCCGTACTAACTTGATTATTAACTGCATTGTCCTTAGGGTTAAGGATATTCTAATGTTAGTATGTGTTTGTGTTCTCCCTTCCCCCAAAAACCAAACCCTCCCCTACAGCTGATGACAAACTTTGCCATATCAGTGTCAGGCTGGGTAGCATTAGCATAAAGCCAAAGTAATTCTGGGATGAATTGGTGCTTATGGAGCAGAAATCAAGCCAAGTTCATGTTAAGCAAAGATTTATGAGTAGAGGGAAGGACAAACCCCTGGACAAAACTAAACATTTGAGCACTGCTCTGTACTCAGCAGTGTGCTCAGAGTTCTCATGTATATTTAATTGTCAGGACAACCCTGTCGAGTTGTAAGTGATAGAATTCATTTTAGAGATAAGGAAGCAGAGTTCAAAGGGGGTGATCAGCCAAGGTCACCATAAGTAAGAAAGTCAAGATTCAAACTCAGATCTCCAGATGTCAAGTTTGGGGCTCTTTGCACATGAGGAAGCTGCTTTATCAAAGCGAGATCTGAGATGTTGTCTCTGTAACAGTAGTAACAGTCAAGTTGGTACCAGACTGATTTTAATCAAGTTAAATACACTATTTCTCAGACTTAATTGGTTGTTCATACCATTTATTTGAAAATATTCATAACCTTCCAACATCTGATGCAGAGTGGAAGCTTATGAGCACATTTCCTGCACTTACGATGTGTGAACTGCCCTTGTGAACCAACTTGGCAATTGTGGTAAACCTAGAAAGTCCACCTTCAACTCGAATCTTCCTTTCTTTTCAGAAGTCCAGATCTCTTCATCATCCTGAGGTGCCTTATGCCTCTGTCCTGTCTACTTTGTTCTTATTTCCAAAGAGAAGAAATGTGGCATCTAGATTCACAATTTAGAATCTGGAAAGAGGAATGTGTTGGTATTTCCCTCGGGAATCCTCGTTCCTGCTCTCCTCCCTTTGGTTTTCATAGTAGCTCAGACTTAAACATTGCCTTATGGCTGGCTTTGAAGTCTAATTGAATGTTAGGAACAGGACCCTGGGGTGGGGCAGGATAGGGGAGTCATCATGATTTCCTCTCTGGTAAACTAAAGTCCCTTTCAGGGCTCTGTGAAGAATCAAGAGCAAATCCAAGGAATCACAATTAGGGTTCAGATTCAACTTCAGAGGCACAGTCACCACACCCCAGAGCAGTTTATGAGAATGCTGTCTGCTACACACAGCTGCAGTATTCTTGCTTCCCTCCCCAGTATGTGGCACAGTGAAGCTCATCACAAGGGCAGTGTGTGGGTGTTGAGCTATTATTATGAAAGAGTGGTTCATGGGATGACTTGAGTTGTCTTAGGAGCACAGAGCATCTTCTCCAAAATGCATAATGCACTTGGATATAGGCTGGTTTCTTACCCCTGTGGTGACCAGACAGACCCTGTGAACACTCTAGATAGGAAGGAAAAAATAAAAAGTGGTTTGGAGACTCCTGACTTTCTTGTGGACTCTGTGCCTGGTGTCACCTCCATCTGTCTGAATTTCAGCCTCCACCTGTCTGCCCTGCTCCAGTAGCCTCATCTTCCTTGGGTTAAATGTTAAGACCCTGCTTCTGGAAGCTACACTGTCCTTGCCCTCTACAGAGAATGATTTAGAATGAGGATTCACTGTCATAGGCTTAGTATTTTCCAGATAAGATACATCCTTAATCAAGGGCTCACATTTCATGAGCAGAGATGAGATCACAAGATACAGATAAACCCATGAAGGTTTCAGTTGACTTTTGCCACATCCTTGCTGCCTCTCTCCTATTTTTCTCTCCTCCCAAGTGGTCAAAATGGTAGCCCTCTTCTTGGCTCAGCTTCTCCTTACCCCATCAGAGGATGGGACTTTATATGGAACTTTTCTATAGTAACTGATGATACTCATTCTAAAGAATCCTTTAAAACCTAGTCTCTAAAAGTAGTTGTACATTCTGACATCTGTAGGTAAATCTCTATTCTCTATGTAAGTTTTTTTTTTTCAGATTGAAAATTTATAGGATTTGAGGAAGGCTTGTTCTGTGTTTCTGTTAGTAATCTATGTAGTGTGTCAGTTAAGTTACTTTTTTCCCCTAAAGCTGTTTTTACCAAATGATCACTTTTCTCAATAGTTAGAAACTGTTTAGTACTTAAATGACATCCCTCTGGTGCGTGAGCTTAGCCTACAGGAAGTGTGTCTTTGGTGAGGACTTGCTGATTGAGTCAAGGACCAAATGCAAACAGCAGTTGTTTGACCATTATTTACTTTTCTTCAAGGGTGATTATATTATTAGATCTTTGGTAGTTAAAAATGCAGGTTAGGATAGAAAGCGAGAGAGGAAATCTTCACACTCTTCCCCCAAAAAAACGTTCTTTAGTCTCTTTGGTTGTTTCTAGGTTCTCAATGAATTGTCCTTCACTTAAGTGAGATTTCGTTGGTTCAAATGTCTGCAGACTTTTTGGTGGCCAAGAAAATGATTGTATATAAGCTTATAAGTGGAAATGATTTATTTATAATTAATTTTCATAAAAAGCATAAGCGAGAGAGGGTTTCTGTTTCCTATCAAAATAACTTAACTGCCAGCAACATCAGTCATGACCTAATCTTTGGCACATGAAGATGATTTTTTCAGCAGCTAGATTTACGAAGTAATGGACTTTTCGTGCTTATGGAAAGCACTTTCTCTAGCATCTGAGGATCCCTAAGATTCCTTTATGACCATTATGCTATAGAAGAACCTGTGGTTATATAAGTCTCCTCCTCAGCTAGAGTTTCAAGCTTACAGCTGGTATACCTTCTTTCTAAATCAGATACTTTCTTGAGTTCTTCCCAAGGGTGGAAGACAAGTGTCACTCAGTCCCTCTCTAGCATTCTTCCCCTGGCCATTCACCAGGCTAAGGGAATGTTTACTCTCTCATTCTATTCCGGAGGAAGACAGGTCTTTGGAAACTAGCATTTAATTTCCAGGCCCTGAGGTTACTTATTTTACTAAAAGGGGAAATTCATTAATGACTACAATCAATTCTACCTTCAGTTTCTTGGTCTCTGACTGGAATAACATTAGCCATGTGAGGAGGTAGGTCCTGAAGCCATCAGAGTTGGCTGTGATGAAGGACCCACTGCACTCTGATATTCAGGGTATGTGCACCATTCTTATTGCATTATTTGAATGAACGTGGTTCCTGGATCCTGCCTCAAGACTGCAGTCAGTAATGAGCGCTCATCAGTAATGGCCCCTTGGCTGGTATGACTCTGTAATTCTGATCATAATGGGATAACTGGAATAGCTTTCTGCTGTTCTATCTTTAATGGCACACATTCTTTGGCTTAGTGATTGATAGCTACTTTTCTCACCTTCTGAGAGCTACCTGTTGGTTGCAGGTCATTCTTCCTATTAAAAACAGGCACTTAGAAAATAGTCACCAATATTAGGCAGTCTGGTATGGGGAGAAATTTTGAAAAAGTTAGTAGAAAGGCAGCCTTTCTGTCATGGCAACAGAGCTTTCCATGCTGCCTCATGCTACAGGAAGCCAGTCGTACTTGGCTTTCCTTCTGCTCCTGAAAATCTGGCGCATGAATGAAAATATACCATTCCACCCCTTCAGCCCTCATATCTGCTACAGAGTTCTTCCTCTGCCCCGCCAGGTCATGCTGCTTTTCTTCTCCCCAGACACTGACTCCAGTGGGCTCTCCTGTGTGATGGTCTTTGCACACGGCTGGGGCCCAGGTCCTCACCTGCCTTTGCTACCTTCTCCTTTCCAAATACCATGTGTAGGTGTTTGATGGAAGTGGGTGCTTGGGTCATTCCCCAGGGATAGGGCTAAGTCTTTTGGATTTAAACCATGTGAATGGCCTAAAAGGAATGGTCATACCTGGAGGAGGTGCCATCCAGTATCAAGTAAACAATTACCTTCAGGCAATTTGGATCCAGGTGAGTAACTGCTACATTTCTCTCCATGGTACCTTTATGGTGAAGATAATTTTAGAATATCAGACCTTTGGAATGGCTTGATTTCCAAATGCTTTCTGTACAAATTTTGTAAATATACCAATATAAAGGTATATTTAGAAAAAATGTGGCAAGGACTGCAGACCAGACCTCTGGGTTTACGGCAGGATGCAGGATAGGTATGTTTTTACTGCCTCTGGAGCACCTTAGTGTTTCCTGGCACATTGTAAGTGCTCAATAAATGTTCGTTGCTGCTATTATCATTACTAATATTACCACTTAGAATTTAGTATGGGAGGTTAGTGTGGAGATTTCTCAGTTGGGATAGAATATACTCGAAAAGTCTTTCTTTTTAATTGTAGAGGTTTACTTTAAGGCTGTAAATGTATTGCTTCTAGCTAAAACGAGGAGTTAATTCTTTCTATAGCTTAATTTTAACTATAACAGTGTGACTCTAGTAATTAGTTTCAGCCTTAGAGGGCAGTAAGTAGGGCTGTTTCTTATTAACTTGTTAGGGCACTGTGAAATGCTTTGCCTACCCAAGGCCTTCCCCAATAGACTAAGCAGTTAGGAATTAGAAAAGAGGATTACCGATTGATCATTTCTTTTATACTGTTGCTGAAGTTCTGATTATATAAATTTGTGTGTGTGTATGTGTGTGTGTGTGTGTGTGTGTGTGTGCGCAAATTCTTAATTTTTTTTCATTTTATTTTACATATCTTACCTGAGTTGTAAGACTGATGTGGACATTATTCATGATGCTTAACATGGGTTTTCCTTTTTTCACATTATCCTGCATGATCCTTACATAGTTCTTTTCTCTCCTGGGCAAGAGTGCCTTCTGAAAATTTATATAGAGTTGTGTCTATTTTCTTGCAGTTGAACTGGCCATGATCATGGACCGTCTGTATGGTGGTGTCTGCTACGCTGGCATTGATACAGACCCGGAGCTGAAGTACCCGAAAGGCGCCGGCCGCGTGGCGTTCTCCAATCAGCAGAGCTACATCGCAGCCATCAGCGCTCGCTTTGTGCAGCTCCAACACAACGACATTGACAAACGGGTAAGCAGCTGAAAAGAGACGAAGTATGTTCTGTGGGTCCCTGAGAAGCAAAGCGCCTCGTGATCGTAAGTAAGCAGCTCTACTGTACATGGTGTTAGTACATGAGTCCCTCTGGCGGCCTGAAAATGAGAGCTCCCTTGGTATTGAAGGCGTTAATAAGCCTCCTGCCTCACTCATCCCCAGGGCAATGTTACACTTATGAAAATAACCCTGCAGAATTTAGCATACCAACCAGTGCTGTTCAAAAGATGATGCCAGCACTGTATTAATGAGGGTGGAGAGCTGGTGACCTATTTGACCCATCTGGTGTCTTTAAAACAAACAAACTTGGACTAGCATTTAATGTTAATGTTCAGGAGTCAACATAAAATTTTGAAGTTCTGAAGTCTCTTAAAATTGCCAAGGTCACACGTAGTAGCAACCATTGGAACCAAATAGCTGCTGTCCCCTCAGTCCCCTCTCCACCTCCCTGTAGTTCTGCTCATATCACACATCTGCATTACCTGCCTCTGCCCATTGGTGTTACTGCCTGGCCACTGGAGACATTCTGTTTTCCTACCTCTGATCTCAGAAGGGGACCCGAGGTAGAATTGTAGGGGTTGGTGTGCTCATTTTGTTTTGTGGACAGACACAGGTTTAAATCCCTCAAATCTCAGCCTTGCCACTGCTTGGAAGCTTGGGGGTGTGGCTAGAAGGTGGTAGGTGTTCCTCTGGGACCGATGTTAATAGATTAAAAGAGGAAGTAGGAGAATAGCATCAAGTCTGGACCGTTTCCTGATGCAGTTGTACAGGGGCCTTATCGTTTCCAGCAAAAAATGTTCTTGGGGGACACACTGGACTAGAATAAATAAAGTAGTAAATATGTTCTATGGCAAAACTTATACTCTGTGATCAACTTTGACTATTTTTGTATAGCAGGCTTAATTTCAGTTTCTTAGGAGGTGAAGTATCAATTAGTGATGGACTTTTTTATATTCAGCAAGATTATATTTTTATTAAGACATACATCTGATCAAATTATAAAAGCCAGGGCTTAAAATAAACAATCTATTTGCTACATCACTTAGCTTATTAAAAGTAAGTAGTGTTGGTTTGTTTTCTGATTAAGATGAGTAAAATAATTCTTTTTAAGAATTTCAAAACACTTTTTGAATTAATGGAAACTCAAAGGGATGATAAAGATTTGACTCCATTCCTCGATAAACCTTTGTCAAATTGACACATGGTGCTACTTGAAGGGTTCTCTTAACTACTGCTGCTTGTGTGGTGGACTTGGCTTCTGCCTGTTACATTTGTGAGTCTGAGACACCAGATTGCATTCCTTTAAGACTGCGACCACCCCCATCATCAGTGACCCCCAGCAGCACACTTAACCTTGAAGAGACTTACGCTCTCATCTGTATGGAAGTAGCTTTCTTTGTTCCCCTCTGAAGCCAGAACTTTGGATTGTACAGGAGGTAGGTCCTAGAAGTGATAAAAGAAGTTTCCATTTCCTCATGCTTCTATCTTCCTTTTGCTCCCACCCTAACAATCTCCTGGCCAATGCTTTAGCAGAGGGAAGTACCCCGGGAGTTATGGTAATTTTGAGCCTCTTTAAGAATCACAGTGAATTCAGATACTATTTGTTTTGTTGCCTACCCCTACTCTCACATCTGCTGTGCTCAGACCCTTAGTATTTCTTCCCACAAGCCTTAAAACTAAGTCAAAAGAGAGAGAAGTGCCTTTGCTTTTGTTAGCATAATCATAGGCCATGCTATGAAAGTGTATTTGGAACATTAACTCAGGAAAGCCACTGACTGACTGTTTTCTACCCACTATATTTGGGGTAACCATGCTTTCCATATGTTAGAGTAGTCCTTGATTAACATTTAGGGTAGCAGCCAGTTGTAATGGGAAGAGTATGGAGTTTGGAGTTCGAACAGATTGCAGTACATTTAAACCTCTGCCACACCAGCCACTGGTGAACCTAAGCAAATCAGTTAATGCCAGGAGCCTCCAGTCCTCATCTGCAACTCCCTCCAGGGGACGGTCTGAGGATTAAATGGGATTTGAGGATTGAACAGCCGGAGTTGTATGGCAGTTGGGTAGATGAATAACTATCACTTGCTGGTTAACAGTATTCATCTTGCTACAAATGCACTTAATACTGATGTCATTAATATTACGAATTTTTGTAGCGAAAAGGTACACTGGTTAGTGAAAAGAGCACTGGGCCAAGGTCAGATTGCTGGGTCTAGAGCTGGTTTTGTTCCCCATGGGCTATGTGACTGGGCAGGTCACTTAAATTCTGAGCTTCAGTGTATAATAAATGAGGGCAGTATGAATAGCCTTATGTATTCCACAATATTATTGAGAAGCCCAGAAGAGCCATTAAACAAGAAAGCAGTATATATAATGTAACACACTTACACATGCATAGTGGGACTGTTGTGGTCACAAGAATGCCACCTCCAGCCTCGTAGTGTCAAAAAGGGACCTGTCTGTTCCTTCAGTACCCTGGGATGAGTGTCATCAAAGTGGGAGAATTGGAAATCATTGAAAGTGGCAGAGTCCCTCCCCTCTCCTTTTCCATCTTCATACTCTTTGTTTGCTCTGACCAATATGGAGACAGTTTTGTTGTGGGGTTTTTTAGGGGGTTTTTTGGGGTTTTTTTTTTTTATGAAAGATGGAAGCCAGCTTCCATCTTGAGTTGGGCTCCATTTTCAATATTCTATGAACATTACACTTCCTTCCCCAAACTTTATTCTGTCCTCTTCTTAATTTCTTCTTGCTTGAACATAGCCAACAATACCTTATTTTGTCATCTCTGGCATTTTGAGCCTCTGTTAACTGTACCCTTCATAGGTGCTTTTTAAGGTTCATTCCTAGTTTCATTTTTACTTATCTTTCTCCTACAGCTTAAATTTGAGCTTTCCAGAGAGCTCCCAACATATATAAGCACATTAGTATTTCCTTAGGTAATGCCCTTTTTCTTTCTCAGGTGCTCTGTTCTTGATTGTCTACAGAGAGTTTCTGTCATTAAGCGCAACCTTCTGCCTGAATAATCCCTCCCGGATTTTAGTATTCATCTCTTAGCTAAGATTTTGAAACTTGCTGTCCTAAAAGCTAAGGGCAGGTGTTCACCTTTGCCCACAATCCTTTTTCCTTGCTATTGCAAATTCCAAGGTGCTACACTCTTTTTCTCCTTCCTTTGAGCGTTAGCCTAGAGTTGCCTTTAAATCAAGACTTTGACTCTTAAATAGCATCAGCCTTCATTACTTTTCTGGTCAGAGGAGCCTCCTTTGCTGTCTGCATCATTATAAATGCAGAGTCGGTGGAATCAGTGAATTAAAAAAAAAAAACTGTAGATGGAATTTTAAGGCCACTTGCTTCCTCTTTACAGCCCTTACACCTTTCACTGTTTGCCCTCTATGGAGAGTAGGAGAGGGCCATGCAGCACAGCAGTGCCTGGAACCGTGGAAGTTCTAGAACTGTCTGAGGCGTGTGCTCTCAGGTGAACTGTGGGAGTTACATGAAGAATTTGACTAGTATATTTCCTTTACCTCTTTGTATCCAACCAAGTTTTTTCCAAAAAAAACATCTCTTTAGAGAGTTTATATGTTTTTGTATTTTATTATCATTATTATTATTATTATTATTATTATTATTATTATTATTATCACTGCTCTTTAGCTAAGATTTAGATGGAGTGGTTTATGGGGAAAATGCAACCATTGTATATTTGATTTCTTCTTACCATTTTAGAGACATTTTGGCTTTATGAATATAAAATAAGATATGTCAATATGCAACATTTATAGGAACTGTCAACCCTGAAACTTTGGTACTTTCATCTCTGCTGTCATTTCACTCATCCATTATGTCATTGTCTTTAAGGAAGAGGTGGGGTGTTTTTGTTTTTGTTTTTTTATTTTGGTAACAGCTTTATTGAGATCTATAATTCCCATACCATACAAATCACCAATTTAAAGTGTATAATTCAGTAGTAACTTAGCATATTTACATAGTTCCACCACCATCACCACAGTCCATTTTAGAACATATGGAAAGGTATTTGAATGTACAGCCTTGAATTCTGTAATAAGATGATCAGTTGAACAATAACTCCAGGGGAAGTGAGGAGGCTGCATTTATTCTGCATAATTTTACTCAATTCACTATAGGGAGAGGATCCTACTTATTTTACCAATATTCTTTGAAGTCACAGGAGCAAGGTAGCCCAGGCTATTGGGGCAAACTTCTGACCCCTGCAATAGCTGTAATTAGGGTCCCCCACAAATATCTGACTTGTTGGAGTGAGCTGATCCACCTACATATCAACAAACTTTTTGCCATGGTCTGTCTAGCAATGGAAGGACTAACAGAGGTGGGAGGGGCTCTTAATGGTAGTTCCTTACAGAGCTGCGATGATCTTGATTGGACCACCTCTGCCCAGAGGTCTAAATGGGAGTGCTTGCCACATGGGTGACACTTGATAAATATGTAGAATAAATTAGGATGATAAATGGGAGAGCAAAGACTGGAAGCAACCATGGACGTTTATCGAGGATGCTGAAGTGAGTCACTCTCATCTCTCATCTGCCACCTAGACATCTAGAGTTGTTTCCCCAATGGTCTCCCCAATTCAACTTTAGCCTATCCCTAATTCATTCTTTATGTAAAAACCAGAGTAATCTTTTAAAACTCATAATGTCAATGTCTTCCTCCTTTTAATCGTTTTGATTATGTTTAAAGCTTTTAAACCTTTTTATCCTGCCCTTAGGATAAAGGTCAGAATTCTTAATTAACATTGCCTACATGACCCTTCATGTACGACATGCTTCTCCTGCATTAGCTCTCCCTTCCTCATCTTGAATCAGTTACAACTGGCCTTTTTCTCTGCTTTTCAGGGTCATTATACATACTGTTTCCGCTGTCTGCCTGCCTAGTACCCACGTTTCTTTCAGATCTCATCTTAATTGTGATGTTTTTAGGAATCTTCTTCAGTGGAGCTTATATCT